GTACAGCCCCCAACTCAGATCTGAAAAGAAATCAGTGGATGGATGTGTTGAAGTGTTTTCTGACTGGTTGGCAGCCCGCCAACCGTTCGGCCCTACTGGTCGGCTGCAAAACGGTTGGCGGTCGGGGTTGGCCGGCAGCAGGTATATGCAACCCCGGGTCGAAGCTGGTTAGAATTACCAAATGTCTTTCCTTGCAGTGGTGATGCTGTTTGGCGTTTTCTTTGATATCTTGTTGTGTTGACAGCAGTGCGCCTGCATTTTCTGTTTTGTTTGTTTTCATGGAAATAAGAAAATAATAGATATTAGATAGTCCTTTGGGGATGTGGGCGTGTTGTTGAATTTGTTTCTTGTCCCTCGTTGTATGTGTGAATTCCCTTTTTGCAGGGCGAGTTGTGTGCCATAACTGCTCTTCTCCAAATGACCCACAAGCAGAGGGCCTCCACAATTGGGCCTAAGGCCCCGGAGCCCCTCACACCAACAGATTTGGTCATCACGTTGGATGGGCAGGATCGACAAGTGCATGCTGTACCAGTCCCAGAGTTATGGAAAGAGACATTCTCACTGGTGAGATGACCTTTCAAGTTGCAAAAAATAGGACATGGAAGTAATCCTCTCTCCATTCTCCATCTATCTACATCGCCGTCTGCTCATCTCACCTCCATCTCCCGTCTTCTGCTTGCCATGGCTGAAAGATTCGTGCTGAGCCCGGCACTTGAGAGTCTACGCTGCGCTAGGCCGGGGACCTCACAATTCTTTTTTTGTTCTTTTTTTTTTTGAACCCGCTCGACCCGGGAGTTATCCTGGCAGCATCAGCCATTTTCGCTTAAAAGTGAGGAAGTCAGAACTTTGGGCCTCGCCACACCACTCTCGAAAAGCGGAAAAGACAAAAAAGGGGCGGGCGCATCCGGTCATGTTCTAGAACGACGTTCGTTCTCATTTTGCACATTTCGAGAGTGGTGTGGCGATGCCCTTTGTCTCCCTCCTTTCCTACTATGTGCCCTCCTTGCTAAGAGTTCGTGAACTCACTCTCATCTGTTGTAACTGTCGGCTATTGTGACCCTTAATTTGCAAATTTGCAGATTACTTCGTTCCACGAGCTCGCGACAGTTGCTTCATTATACCCTTAACAGAGTTAACACATACACTTAATTTGCAAGATTTTGCTACATGAGCTTGCTACATTATACGGGTCCTCTAATTTGCAAATTTGTTACATGAGCTTGTGAAGGAAGAGAGCTATGGAGTCTGGACAGAGTCCTCGAGAAATCCAGTTATGGCTGCACAGTGCACACCCTAGATCCAACCAATCTCCGCAAGAGCAAACATAATACAGATTTATAACATCGACAGTGGTCATTTGGCAAATGAGTACATGATACGTTAGGTACTCTATTAAACCACCACTACCTCCGATCCTGTTTTTGCCGCGCCTGATTTTCACTGCGCACCGAGCTTTGTCGAGCCGGGGCAGTTTCATCCAGAACAGAACGAGGGGGGAAAAAAAAAAAAAAAAAAACTTCCGGAATGCATCGATAACCACCAGATACATTTCTATGAGGTGCTCGTGTGTCTGTGCCCTCAGTGAGAGGGCGTTTAGCGGACAACCAGCAGAAAAAAAGAAAAAAAGCTCCCTTACGCTGTGATTGAGGGTGGATACAGGATTCTACAGCATTGAGGCAGTTACGTGCCACGCGTGAAATATGCCCTGCCTGGCTGGCAGGGCACTACAAGTCTACAACGACATGAAAAAGAAGACGAAAAAAAAATAAAGCAACAGGAACCTAACTCCCGACATAGTGACCAGATACATTCCTCAAAGCACTGGTGTAACTTCCCCCCTTACATTCCTCAAAGCACTGGTGTAACTTCCCCCCTCGTGAGGGCCTTCCCCAACGTCCTTGGATTTGAAACTCTTTTTTTTTTTTTTTAACCAAAGCTTTTTTTTTTTTTTTTAGCAGCAGTACAGTTCCTTTTCGACTGGCAAGTCGGGATTGGGGAAGGAGTCGGGATCGGGCCGTCGGGATCGCAACGGTGGAGGAAGAGGAACGTATTTTCCTGTTTTCGCTTTTATATGCGTTATATATATGTTTTATATATATCTCTCTTTCTATATTTTTTTTTTTTTTTTTTTTTTTTTTTTTTTTTTTTTTTTTTTCCTTCTTTTTTTTTTTTTTTCTTTTTCGCTGGGCTCCAACCCTGCCCTGAGCTTCCGTGTTTTCAGGAGTAGGCTACTAGATGGACTTTGCGTTTGCGTGTGAAAGGTAGGGTGCTTTAATGAAATGTTCTTTGTCCAGAAAAAAAAAAAAAAGGGTAGCATGCAAATGCTAGCTGAGCTTGTTAGAGGGTATGGCTCCATGCAGTGGTGAAGATGAGCAAAGCTCATCTCTAAATGCTGAAAGCAACCATGCATGCAAATAATGCGAATTTGCATATCGATTGCACAGGCCCTGTGTTATGATTCTGGTAGTCTGTTGTCTGAAGACCAACACTCACTCACATAGACTCCCAGGTATGCCCATACATACACAGAAGGAAGGGGAGAGGATAGGAGTATCACACCGCACAGGGAGAAATAATACACACAGCGGAATGCTTGACCATGCGATATGACACGGTACACTGAAAGTGCAATTCACTCCACTCAATCCTCACAACCAGTCATAAAGGAAAGCCGAGTAGATCACATCCAAAAAAAAACAATGAAACGATGATTGTCGGAACCCAGTATCAAGTTATCAACACTGTTTATTAAACTCAGAGTCTCAAATTGTCAGGATAACCTCAGAACTATGATGCGCTGCTCAGAAATGAGCAGCGCTCCACTCCCCAACCCTGATGAACCGCTAGTACTACCCCTGAGTTGCTGAAACATGAAGCGCCACCCAAATACAGCCTCCAGAGGGAAGCGCCACCCTGAAACAGGCCTCTGAGGCCAAGCGCCACTCAGAGGATGAAGAAGAAGACCAGCGCCATAGTATCTGATGATGACGAAGTGTCGGAAGACTTCCTGGTGGAAGTCTGCAGCAGCGCCACCACCCCTGACAAGATGACCTCTGAGGAAAGAGCTGCGGCTATGGCTGCAGCGTCACAACCCTGTAACCCTACTCCGGAGGAGGGTCCTGCAGGGTACCAACTTCTCTGTCTCCAGCAGACCTCGAATAGCCCAGACCTCTGTATAGCTCGGCGTGCTGACAGAGCACAGCGCAGGTCCCAGCTATGGTCGGCGCTCCGAAGATCTGGCTATGTCTGTCTCCCTCAGTGCTAGCCGTCACCGCTTCCGGTTCACGCATTGCACAGCAGCGATGTACTCAGTACCAACCGCCAAAAACCCTGAACCGATGTGCCCATCCTATCTATAGTCTGCTCTGGCCTAGACTCAACCTAGACCGGACTGACTGACCGACCAGTACCGTTTCTGTTTTGGCCTCTAGGGCCTCTCCCAACCTGGCTATAGGCTATAGGACCGTCTATCATCTTAGGCCCCTTAGGGCCTGTCTGTCCTAGGGGTAGTAGCCCGGGCCTGCATTTTGTAGTTAGGATAGCTGTAGGGAATTCGAGTTAGTACGGCTCTATATTTTCCCGAAATTTGCAGATATGTCCCTAACAAATTTCCTTACAGGCGGGTCTCTCGGTTAGCCCTCAGCCAAACAAAATTATGAATCTATCCTACACATGGTACAGCCTCGACAAGAGAGAGGCTACAGGCACCCAGAAACCAGCAAGTCGTTGCACCTGAACGGTTGAAATTTTGAATGGCAAAGATTTGTGTTTCATTCTACAAGAAGCAGATAAGAAAATCTGATGGCGTAAAGTTGTGCACTGCATCTGGGCTTGTGGAAGAGTGTGGATGGAGATGACGTGAAGCGCTGTTCAATATCAAAGAACCAAAACCGCATCAGAAACCAATGATCGCTCGTTAATCGCCGAATCATTTTGTCTGCCAAGCACCCAAACATTCCTCCATGGTGATATTAATCTCAGCATGAATGACTGAGTGACTACCCTTGTGTGCGAACCTCACAGTTTTTTTTTCTTTGTGTGTGTGTGTGTGTGTGTGTGTGTGCGCGTGCATGTGCTTAACAAATGTTATGTGCTTCTTCAACAACCACAACACCATTTGCTAATCACTGTATGGTTTCTGTCTGTGCTTGTGTCTATCTGTATGTCTGTCCCTGCGTGTCTCCCTGCCTACTTGCCTGCCCGTCTGCCTGTCTTCTCTCTCTCTCTCTCTCTCTCTCTCTCTCTCTCTCTCTCTCTCTCTCTCTCTCTCTCTCTCTCTCTCTCCNCTCTCTCTCTCTCTCTCTCTCTCTCTCTCTCTCTCTCTCTCTCTCTCTCTCTCTCTCTCTCCCCTATCTTGTGGCTTCAGGAAGTTGACATGGGGTGGATGAAGTTCAATATCAAGGGGAACAAGAAGTTGGGAAGGCAGCCATGGGTTGTGGATTTCGAGATTGATGGGAAGCCAGGGTCATGTCAGATTGTGAAGAGGCTTCCTAGAGGCTTCAGGATAATGTATCATGGTGCCGAGGTGATCATCAGACCACATTCCTCCCTCCCTCTGGTTTACAAACCATCTCGGTGGTTGTGCACTGCCGTCATCACAAGCATTTCACTTGCACAGCGACTTCCTCCAGCGGACAGTTGGATATCGAGTATTATTGACCTTTCTCTTGTGCTTGCATATGAAGAGGATTGCTGCTGAGAGCATCTCAAGTGTCGGTGTTTACCATACTTTTGTTATACTGTTTTACTGAAGCTTGGGGGTCTTTTGTTGTGTGTGCTTCTTCTGTGACGCAGTATGATGTGCTTGTACAGAATCCAACGCAGGCTTCTCTACAGCAGTTCATCAAGCCACCTCCTGCTACAGATCATCGGAAGGTAACCTTTGGAAGGGATGGTGTCTGAAAATGTTTGCTTTTAACTTTTAAGTTTTTAAAACTTTTTTTAAGTTTTAACTAACGTTTTCCCAGTTTTCAGGTTCTCTTATCTTTTAACTTGTTTATGTTATGTTTCTGGTATGCTGCACCTCTTTGTAGAACCATAGAATCCTTTGTCAGTATCATTTAATAAATTTATAATGAATCAATCGCATTAGGTAATTTACGGCCTTGAGATTATAAATATTTGGTTTTAGGTTAGTTTTTTTTTTTTTAATCTTCCAGGTTGATGTTGGTTCTCTGTGATAAAGGGGGATGCAAGCTTTCCATCGGTTTTCAACTTTTAGTTTGAATTTTGAAGGGTTTTTTTTTTTTTTTTTTTTTTTGGGGTTGGACCATTTCTCGATATATGTGTGTCATCCTTGTGCAATCTTCTCTTTCTCGGAGAAGATTAGCATGGGCCTTGCGCAAGGATGACAAGCATAAATCTTCTCTTCATGGATCCAATCTTTTTTAACGGATGTCCCGAAGGACAGCTTTGAAGGTTCTTGCAAATTTGCGAAAGTGATTTTTTTTTTTTTTTTTTTTTTTTTTATGTACTGACGCGGGGGCCTCCTTTGCGCGGTGTGTTTCGTTTGTTTCTCCCTGCCTGCCTGTCTGCCTGTCTGTCTGCCTCCTCTCCCTGCGATCCCTCCCTCCCTCACTAACATTACCCCTCTTCCCCCCTCCCCCCCTTCCCCCTCCACCTTTTGCTGCAGAAACTGAGATCTCCCATGCCAGGATATTTGGTGACTGTTCCCTGTCTCTTATACACATCTAGATGTGTATAAGAGACAGACACTGTTTATTAAACTCAGAGTCTCGAATTGTCAGGATAACTTCAGAACTACGCTGCGCTGCTCAGAAATGAGCAGCGCTTCACTCCCCAACCCNCCTGTCTTTTTTTTTTTTGAAGCTATTTTGAAACTGGTTATTTTCAGGCGGTCGTCTGCAATGTGTTGTGTTATTCGTAGGCAAAGAGATTGTTTCTTTCAACCTTTTTTTCTTTTTTGCATAGTTGCGGCGCACCAGTGCGCAGTGCGGTGCGGGGCGGTGCGCACTGCGCTGTGCGCTGGAACGACAGCGCGCGCACTGTGCGCCATGCGCTGTGCGCAGTACCCAGTGCGGTCCGCTGTGCGCGGTGCGCGCGCTGAGGGAGTTGCGCCCTGTGCGCAATTAAAAAAAAAAAAAAAAAAGGCCCCAAGAGAAATAGAGAGAGAACAAAAGGTCCCCTTCACGTCAATTCGAGGCCCCCCGCAGGTACCTCGAATGGCTCCTACAATATATGTGGAGCCATTGAGGGCCAGCTTCAATGAGAAGCATAACCTCGTCACGTGTGGGAGAGATGTGGGCCGACCACCAATATATGCTGTGGATTCGAGTTCAGGGCTGTAGCTCGGCAGTTATGGGTCACCAATTCAGGTAGACCCTGTTCGTGTCTACATGTGATTCTCAGGGCCTCCCTCCACCACTCACCAAATGTATATAATATTAGTAGAATGAATCTTCTGCGAAAACATGGAACCATACACCGCCATATGCTATGTCTTTTGTGCATCCTCACTTGAAGTATTCGTAAGACAAACGAGAGAGCCACGGGCATCTTCATCCTGACCCATAACTGCCGACATGGGGACCTGAACGCCAATCTTCAGCATATATTGGTGGTCGGCTGGCGATGGAASATGTAATTTGTGAATTCTGYGAAATTTYGCGGGGCAGGTCGTTAGTAGGCGACTACCCCTTCTTGCGAACTTACCCCACTAATTTGTGGGATTTGCAGAAGGCAGCGGGAAGGACAGCTTTCATACCCCGCCTAAAACAAAAGTTGGAATGATCCCTATTTTGTGCCTCGCTATTCTGAAACTTTTGGGGGGAGGGCCTGTGGAAATTGAAATTTCGGTAGCCCTTGCCCAAAAGAAAAGTTTGGGCCGTGGGCGCGGCTGGTTTGCGAGCTTGCGTGGTGAGTTCAACATTTTTGCCGAGTTGGGGGCCCTAAGAAATTATGAAACCCGTACTTTTTTTCTTTTTATTTTTGACCTAATTTTTCAATTGCGCTGCGCTTTGGTGCGCTGTGCGGTGCGCTGCGCGTGGTGCACAATTCGTGCGCAAATCCGCGCACCGAGGTGCACCGCAACTATGCTTTTTTGCCTTTCCTGGCCCTAGCCTGGCCGGGCCGCCTGGGCAATCATCGGGGACCCCCTGTCGGCCCCTGGTTCGTGGTACTAAATCAGTTTAATGAATTTGTTTTGCAATGACCCGCTCGAGCACTGTCAGCTTTACAAAATTGTTAATTTTGTTTTGCAATGAACCGCTCAGATTCACACTCCAAATAACGTGCACAATGAATGTTCACGCGAAGGTTCACAGCGAGACCAGATATGGGAACACCAGATTAACACAGCTTAGGAAACTTCAACTTATGATCATATTAGCGCTCATCAGCGCAGCAACCAACAACCCTAAATCAGTTTAACGAACGAGTTCCCTCCTCATGTGACTCTTCTCCCTCTCCCTGTCTTTGCTCTCTCTCTCTCTCTCTCTCTCTCTCTCTCTCTCTCTCTCTCTCTCTCTCTTTCTCTCTCTCTCTCTCTCTCCCTGTGTGTGTGTGTGTGTGGCTTGTATCGCTCTGCTTCTCCTTCAACACCTGCGGCTAGGGCCGCCTCAACCTCTCTCCAACCCTAACTTAGCGCGGCCCAAAAGGCCTCGTGGCACTATGCGCAAGTCGTGATGTCGCACAAGCAGCAGGCAGCGCTTCCGCAGTCGCACGATGAATAGTGTGTGGAGCTGCGCTGTAGCAGCTATTAATAGGATGGCCTTGGTCTGCTTCCGACTGGTACCGGTCGCCCGTGACCTGTCTGCTGCAAGAATTTTTGAGGTCCGGTAGCTTCCGGACTTTCTTTGGACGCTGCTGACTTTGGGACTGGACTTTCTTTGTTGGGTACCTGTTGGACTGTTCTCGGTCTGTGTCTGTTCGGTTCTGGCACGACACGACCGACGACGCTCCGACCTTCTACGGACTCAGGTAGCCTACCGGGACAGGTGGGACTGAGACTGTCTGGGACCGGGCCCAACTGGGACTGGGACAGTTTGGGACCCTGGAATGGGGACTTGTGGTGTCTGCAGCGTGAAGTCCTTCCATTTTCCGAAATTCTTGTATATTCCTCCTTATACGATGTTTTGTCATCGTCCCACCAATCGTAAGAGGAATATGACAGTTTTTGGAAACTTTAGATTTATCTATGGATTTTTAAAAACTATTTATCCTTGCATCTCTCAATTCTTCAGTCATGTTTGCTCACCCATTTTGTCCGGCTTCTTCCGTTTTCATTACTAATATAAATATAAATATAAATATAAGAGGTCGACAACCTTAAGGTATCATCATTGGAACTGACCAGCCCCAGATAATTCTGAGTTCTTCCGTCTGGATTCAAACTCGAGTCTGTGTATCAACAATTACAGCCCCACGTGGGCCGGGTCCTCCTCCTTTGTGCTACTGCGTGAAGTTTTGTCTTTTTTCTTGAGCTGTCATCCTAGTAACCTGGGTTAAGTGGGGCAGGCACAAATGTGGGGTGGGAACGCACACCTGGGCGCCCGGGCCCGGTTGACCCGGGCAGGAGCGTCCCAATTGCACTGGCTCGGGCAGCCGGGCCCATGTGGATCTGGTAGCTCAGATGTGATGCACATTGCACAATAATGAACTGAACAGATTTTGCCTCAGGGTCGCATCAAAATTCTTCATCGAATTTAAAAAAAATAAAAAAATATATGAAATATATCGTCAAACAGAGCTGCCTGGTAAACTGTATGTTATATTATTGTATGGCAGCTCTGTTTGACTATATATATATATTATATTAATTTATATATTTGTGACGATATATATATTCATATTATTGTATGGCAGCTCTGTTTGACTAATATATATAGTCGGTGAAACTCCGACGAAACAGTTTGTCACAGCCCCTCGTTTGTTGTCCTCTTCTCTCTCTCTGCCTACGGTTTACCGGGGCAGTTCTGTTTGTGACGATATTATTTTATTATTATTTTTATTATTATTATTATTTATTTTATTTTATTTTTGGCCTGTCCAGGCAAGTTGTCCCGGGCCACTCTGGTAGCCTAGAAAGGTCTGGAAAACAATATGTCGTGTAGAATTGCAATGCAAGCAACGTTTTGGCTGAGGGTCACCTCAGAATTGGTTATCGAATCAAACATCAAAGAGAAATGACAAAATCAAAATTAAGGCACCCCCCTTTGAAGTTTAAACCACTTGAAGCCCATTAAACCTTTTTTATTCCCCATCCCCTCCCCCCCACCAACTGACAGCACTGAAAAACGAAAAAGAGCCTGGACCCCCAAAAAAAGAAAAAGAGCTTGGACTTGGGCGGCTTTCGGTGGGCGCAGGAAAGCCCTCGATTGATTTTTTTTATTTTTTTATTTTTTTATTTTTTTTGGGGGGGGGGAAGACGAGGAAGGGGGGAAAGGGAAATCCCAGACTTTTTACATGCCCGGGTTGACTTCTCCAGGTCGTCAACCCGAAGGAGGAAGGGGGGAAAGGGCAAGTCGCCAGGTCGCCGAGCCGAGCTTGTAACTCTCGTCTCTTCTCCATGTCTGTTGAATCGTGTCCCTTCACCACCATTCGCTCTCGACATCTCTATCTTTTATGCTAATACATGTCGTGTTGGTGTCAGATTCCGAATGTGTGATTTGTTTCTATCTTCTTTTTTCTTTTCTTTTAATTGTTTGTTTGGGAGAGAGGGGGGCGTGGGTGGAAGGGGCGATGTGTCATCAAGTTTTGATTGGTGTTAAAAAGGGGCAGACTGGTGTTGGTGTTGGTGTTGGTGTTGGTGTCAGCGTCTGACTTTGAGTTGTTGTTTTTTTTTTTTTTTTTTTTAATGAAAGGTGGCAGAAGGGGATGAACTTGTGGTTATCGAGGCCATGAAGATGCGAAATGTGCTGAGAGCGGAATACACACAGAAAATCAAGGCCATTCACGCGAAGGAGGGCGACATCCTTGCTGTGGACCAGATTATACTAGAGTTCGAGTGAGGTAAGTGAAATGCACACACACATACAGTGTGCACACACACACACACATGGTTTGTTATGATTTGTGGAGGGGATAAGAGAGAGAAATTGGGGTGCTTTTTGAAACACACACACACACATGCACATGCACATGCACACAGAGTTTTTCCCCTCTTTTCTTTCGGTCGCTATCTTCTCTGTAATAGTCTGTACAGACTATGTTGAGTCAAGTAGATCTGGAGTGTAGGGATAAGCGGGGATGAAGGACACTCGTCTATTCTTCAACTCGATCTCTCATTGTGTACTCTCCCTTTTTTTTTCTTTATCCTTTTTTTTAAAATTTTCACTTTCGCAGTTTGTTAACTCTGGACCCTGCGCAAGGATGGCACATATAAATCAAGAAATGGTCCAATTTTTTTTTTCTTCCCAGATTAGAAAAAGGGGAGAAAAAGAAAGCAGCTCGTTGTCAGACACCTGGTGTCGAGGCTTCTATCGAGGCAGAAGCCAGACGGAAGCTCCAGTAGCACACCAGTCAGCGCGCAAAAGCAAAGCATACTACTGGTGATCGAGGGAGCCTACATACATGTACAGACAGTGTCAGAGACTGTTATGGGTCTGCCTGCCAGTGTCAGTGCTGACTTTTGAAAAGGCTCGCGAGCTATTCGGTCAAGGCTCTGCAGAGTGTGCACTGCAATGTTGAATTCGTAAGCGGTTCGATGTCAGAAACTTGGTATTTTACTATTTTTACTTCTTTTTTTTTAAGGAAAAAAAAAAGTCCTTCGGGACATCCATTACAATTGGAACGATATAGAGAAGATTAGCATGGCCCCTGCGCAAGGATGACACGCATAAATCGAGCCCCAAAAAATAGTATTTTGCCTATAGTATAGGGGCAACAGTGTGCTGAGTCTGGGTGTCAGCGTGCAAAAGCGTGGACCAAGCGGCAGTATCTCAAAAGATTCAAAACTGTTCAGTATACTTGTTTAAGGGATGCTGGGCCCGGATCCAGGCGCGTGTTGCTCCCCACAACTAGATAGATTAGAGCATTGTCCCGGAAGGGGTGGGGGGGGTGGGGGGAACTGTGGTATCAACGTAGCAAAGCTGAACTGAGGAGCAAGAATGAGGGACAGTGATTCAGGAACAAGCACAGAGGAGACAAGTGAGTGAGGGCATACTCACATTACCACTTATCTTAAATGTACCTGTGACTGCATTTACAGTCCAAACCAGGACCAGAGGAAGAAACCAAGGAACAGACTCGGTCACAATGTGAACAACAAGCACAGAGGAGATAACTGAGGGCATACTCAAGGCTAACACTTTTTTAACTTGTTTCTGGATGGAATTGCGGCCAGAGGCATACAAGTACGGCCATGAATGCGGTCAGGTACATTTAAGATAGCAGTGGTAGTGTGAGTATGGCCCCCCTGAGTATGTAACAGACGCATGGGACAAAATGAGACACAAACTTACAAATAGCTGTGACGTGTTTCGTGTCATGTTATGTGACGCCTTTTTTGCTCAAGTATGTTGCCAGTTGCAAGAGATGTCAGTAATCTGAGTGAGCCCGATCGACGATTGATGTTTCAATGTTTCTACTCTTGCTTCTTTTTGCGCTCTTCTTGTGTAGAAAGTACTAGAAACAGCTCAAAACATGGATTGAAGGCAGGGAAAGCCAGGAAATTTCTTCCCTCTTGACACTGAAACTTCATTGCACATGTTAACGGATTGATGTGATTGACGGTCTTTTCCGCATGTGAAATTGGGCGGGCCGGAGTCGTTTCAGGAAATTCTGGTAGTGTTTTTTTTTTTTTTTTTTTTTTTTTTTTTTTTTAATAAGAAATTCAGGTAGGTTTTGCGGTAGAGGAATCGAGGTTCTGTGATGTGAACATGGTCCAGATCCTTTTTTTTTTTCCGTCCCATTTCGAATTGTACAGATCATTGAGAACATTTGAGATCATTTGAGATACCGGGGCTATTACCCGGCTTCGGCTGCGAACAGTCTGTGAACACGATATGAATCAGAAGGCATGGGAAGGATCATGAATCTCTAATGACCTACTAAGGAACTACTCATGCAATAGGCTACCACAGAGGTCCTACGAATGCTCACAGCCCTCAGGATCCCTAACAAGCCCTTCTAAGACTTTCCAACAGTCTTACTCCCTGCTGAGCACTTCCAGGCCTCACGCCCCCACCCTGCTGGGTTACAGGGCAACACAACTCGCCCCAGCTCCAATCCTTGGCTGTCCCTTGGGATGCCCACCCCAAAGCATCCTCAGATCTCGCTACCAGGCCTCACGCTCCTGTATCAGCAGGTTACAGGGCAACACCCCAGCACCGGCCAGCGTCGTTCTGGCATCGAACAGCCGCAGATCACTGAGTATTACAACATCGAAACCGCCTAAGATGGGTTGCTACGAGTCCCTAGAGTCCTTAAGACATTCATAAGAACAACCGACTCTTTTTTTCCACTACTCAAACTCTACCAAGTCCCTAGAATATGTGTGTCAAAAAGCCTCCCAACCACGAATCAGATAGGTGTATGCTATTCAATCCACCTACGACCACCACCAGCATGGCTGTTTTCAGCACGAACCGAAGCTCTTCCAGGCCTCATGCCCCCATCAGGTTAGGTTACAGAGTTGCACCACCTTGCTCCCGCGCTGGTCAGCATTGCTCCAGTTACGACCCCCAATGACCACTGAGACTGCCCCCGCAAATAGGCCCCAGAGCTCTCTACCAGGCCTCACGCCCCCACTAAGATAGGTCACAGAGTTGCGGCACCTGGCTCCGGCTCCGGCCAGCGTTGCTCCAGCATCGGTCTTCGAGGGCCACCGAATTTTCAACCTCCCTTCGCAGGATCACAGACGACTTGCCAGATAGCACCTATTCCTACAACCCCCTCGAGAGGCAAACCAAATGGAAAGAGATAGTAAACTGGATGATTGACTTATTCGAGAGAGATCGCCCCTCCCTCCCCCTACCCCTCCCCCCTCAGCCCTACACTGCCTCCGCCGAGGTGAGTTACCCACTCTCCCTCGGCCCCAATATAGGACCAACCCTCTACCCCCCTTTCCCCAGGAGCACGCATTTCCCACCTAAAGCATGCCCCCCCGCCCCTTGCCCATTTCTGCCTCCGCAGGGGCTGATGTTGACCCACGCACCAGCCCCTGCCCCAGAATAGCGCAACCCCCTATTCCGCCCCTACCCTCTTTGAGACATTCAGCCCCCACCTTGTGATGCCCCGGCAAGATAGAGCTCCCCCCACCCCCTTCCTACTGTTTAACCCTCCGGGAACGATCCGATCCAGCCGACTACAGTTATTGACGACACACTTACCAAAATGTCGTTCGCAATTTGGAAAAGCAGGGCCTCTTCAAAAATATGCAATAACCCCATAGGATTCCCAAAATATGAATGAGAGAATCAGAAATTTTAAGAACTCGCGATGAAGAAAAGGTAGATGAGATTTTTTTTTGGATTTCGCTGATGACGATGAACAGCACCCTGAAGATTATGATGATGAGGATGATGGTGATGACCAACTCACCTACTGATGCAAAAGGCAAACTGTTACAATGCCTTGAAGAGCAACATCTAATGATAACAAACTAATGATGATGATGGTAGTGGTGAGAATGACGACAGAATGATGATGCTGATCATACTAAAGAGCATGATGATGATGATGATGATAATGATGATGATGATGTCGGTAGTGATGATGATGATGATGATGATGATGATGATGATGACAACAGGATGATTATGGTGCTGATGACGAGCGCCTTTGATGATAACCTAAGGATGATGTGGCATACTCCGTACCACACGGGCCCAGCAGAGCCCGATCTGGTAGACTAAGGGTCCGTAGGGGTAGGACCTATTTCAGGCCCTGTGTCGTTCCGGCTTCCAGCCTCAAAACGACGGGCCATTTTCAGGCCCTCGCAAGATCGACCTACCCTGAAACTCAGGCACCAGACCGGGGTTTTTAGCTCAGGCCATGATGGCCTATTTGGTGGAGCGTCAACCCCAGGGTCTGGCATGTTTTGGAATAGGCACGAGGGCCAGCACTATATAATGCTGACCCGCCCTGTAGGCTGCAGGCAGTTCCCACGCACTTCACATGCAGAGGGCAGGAGGTAGTCTTCAGGACTCGGCATCGGCACTCTGGAGGAGTGGTAGCGGTAGCAGTAGTCTTCAGCGCTGGGCGCTAGTAGAGAGAGAGAGAGAGAGATGGTTGGCGGAGGCCAGGGAGACTCACCTGCGGCGCCAGAGCTCCAGCTTCGTCTTCGATGTACCTGCAGCCAGGCGCCACCTTTACAGGTTAGTATCGGACACAGAGAGAGAGAGAGAGAGAGAGAGAGAGAGATGGGCGACATTGGGATTTGACGACATTGGGGTTCAGACTCAACATCGGGATTCAGACCTTTGGC